GAATATCAGTTATTGTTTTACACTTTGACATTTCTTTCTTTTACTTACTTGTCACACAGATATTTGAAATCAATATGTATATATATATATATTTTTTTTTTTTTGGCATCATTGCATTTTTTGTTGTACTCCAGACATGTTATAACATTTTTTCAGTATCAGCCATGACCATTACCTGGTCAAATAAAAATTACTACAGTCTTAATTTAAATCTCAAAATATTGATTTATTTATAATAAATCATTATTATTCATTGAACAGATCTTCAAAAAATATGCAATTTTCAAAATGTCACATACATGTAAAGGTGTTGCACTCATGATATTTTTTGTTTAGAACTTCTTTGTGTCTTAAGATATCAAGAAAATATTTGGCAGGCATTGAGCTAATATCAAAAGACATAATGTTGAGCTACATATATAGGAATTTATGTAGCCTGGTTTTCTAATGCAGGTTTATAATTATTTGTTCGGTCATCTTTTTTAATATACTCTTTTACAACATCAATTCTCGGGAACAATTGGAACTGCATTTTGTGCATAAATACTGGTGCTCATGTACTGTAGATTCCTTATTTTCCGTGAGCACTTATTATCGCGAAAAGGCCTATTAACGTCAAATCGCGAGAATATTAATTCGCGAGTGGACAGTTGATCAAGATATTTGACATGGATTTCAGCACCATAAAAGTAAAAAGCGAAATTACTCGTTAATTAGTTCCTCGCATATACGAGGGTTGTCCAAAAAGTTCGTGGACAATGGCGTTTTTGTCAAAATGAATGGTTGAAGATATGCTTATTGTATACCAAAATATTAGTTATGAAAATCCAAGTCGGAATAGTTTGGTTTTTATTGTTTGAACTTAATATTTTTGTGAAAATCTCGGTCATTAAAGGTTGCCGATAGTGCGTACGGACCAGAGTTAAAATGCCATGAACTTTTAAATAAAATGATCTGATTGAAATGATTATTTTCTTTTTAAAACGAGTCAAAGCTGAATAAAAATTTAATATATCACAAATAAAGCGGTTATCGCCATTTTCTGATACCTTTGGTATCGCTTACTAAATAGACAATGAAAATATTAAGTGAAAAAAGCGAGAAGTATGTTTCAAAAATTGACAGAAAAAGCGACGTCGGCCATCCGAACGGAACAGCGTCCAATCATTCAATTAAGGTTAATATGGTTGAAACGTCGTCAAAAACAAAATATTTATTCAAACAACATAAATTTATTGGAAAATATTTAGTCTAGTGATTTGTAATTGGTGTATACGATTTTTCAACGGTGTATAAAATTTCGGAGACACTACAAGAAGTGGAAAACCACTGCTGATGAAAATAGGATATATTCCTATTCATGACGTTATAAATATAGCGCCGTCGGGGTGGGCTGTGCATCTTGTGTTTACGAAGTGTTAATATTGATGACGCTCGTAAATTATTGTGCATTGTTTTCAATTTTAAAATTTAAATTAATCATAATCTATACATAAATATTATTGCACACATTTGGCAATGTGGCATAATAAAGAAAAATAGCGTGCGTCTATGAACATGCGATAAAAATTCAAAATTCATATTTCTGACGTTATCATGAAATAAGCGTTACGTCAGACTGGCCCGTGCGACTTGCATATACAAAGTATTTACACCTATAATGTTCAGTAAATAGTGTGCATTGTTTTAATTTTTTGTACATTTACTCAGTCATGGTCTATATTAAGATATTATCGTACATGTTTGCCATTGAGGACTTTATAAAGAAAATTAAGCATTTGTCCACGAACCTTTTGGACAACCCTCGTATTTAGGAATCTACAGTAAACATATGACAATTACCAGGAATATGTTGGTCATTTTTTTCTATAAATGTTTGACTCATTTTTTTCTGTTGCTTAGAGCTTCATCTGTTGATCTCATGTGAGTGTGATCTGCCGATCGCAGGTATGTCAAGGCAGTACCCAGATCATTTTTCGGCGAATTTAGACTTTTTTCGTAAAATTTAACAGTGATGAATTGGAAAAGCCATAGATAAAACATTTACTATTATTATCCATTGTATAGACGTCATTGAGTCCTAGGCTAAAAGAAGCACTCCACTACGACGTCATCACGTGACATCTATAAATAGAAAATTTGCCTTAACGAAAACGTGAAGAGTTCAACACTACCCCCGGGATAATTAATTTCTTTTTGTGAAAATAATTATGTAAAAACATCACTGGGTCAGGAAAAGTGCTGCTAGAATCCTACTCTCCCGAAATAGTAAAAATTATTCAAAAGTTTCGCATGAAACCTTACCAAAATTTTTACATTTTGTACATACGATCAAGGAATTGTCATCAATTCATGTTAACCACACGATTCTAGCAGCATTTTCCAAGTATTATAAAATACAAGCTTTTGATACAAACAAAAATTATGTTTCAAAGTATGCGGCGTGATGTTGAACTTTTGCATTTTTGTTGTTATAGAACGACAGAGGAAAGGGTGATCTGGATTTCAAAACACTGTCTGTGTTCATTTAAAAAAAAAAAAAAAAAACATGATAAAAATAAATTAGCGTACCTGATTCTTAATCTTTAATTCCTTCTGAATCACACATGACATTCACGGTATATGCTTTAAAACACCCATTTCATATATTTGTTTCCATTAATTCTCGTCACGTTAAGTTTCACTCGGCTAATATTTGATCAATAGTTATGACGTCATGGGTTTGGTATTAAACCCCGGCGATAAATACTTAGCTATTTATACCACCCAAAACGACAAGATATAGTTTATATTATGTTTTTGAATGATTTAAATTATTTCTTGGACCTGAAATTAAACTTTAAATGCAGATATGAAGAAATCATTATCTCTAAAGTTCACGTCACACAGCTTACTATGATGTCATATTATATAGGCATGTAGAGTATCTGGGTGTAGCCTTAACATATCCTCATGAACATACCACGTTTCTTCCAGTGCATACATTTGACTGCATGTTCATGTACCTTCATAACAAAACGTGTCCATGAAAAGTTTCTGCTTAGGTGCAGTTTTTACAAAGGATTTGATCCTCTTTTTGTAGAGGGTTTCTAATTGCGGCTATTCCTATCTTACTGCAGGTATTGGATCAGAGTTTATTTAAAAAAAAAAAAAAAACTCTACGTCAACAAATGTTATTAATAGGTAAAATATCGGAATTGATGTATCTGAAAATATTCTACACTTACCAATGTAACAATGTTCTATAAAGAAAGATATAACAATTATTTTAAGGTGGTAGGATCCTGCTTTCAAAAGTAATGATATTTTTTTTTATCAGGTATACTTTTAGAATCTACACATATAGCTTAATTAAAAATCAAAACAAAAAATGAGGGTCAGTGAGCTTCTTTAGGCGCTACAGAGCATTAAGTATGACCTTTTTGTACTGTAATTACGTCTAACACAAAAATCAACTTTTCAACCCCCCCCCCCCAACCCATTATTTTTTATTGAAATAAATTATTGGAAAAAGCAAAATGGTATTTCATCTTGAATAAACACATTAAAATTTGTGACAACAAAAGATGGCCAATTATTTACTTTCTGCACTCAAGAATGTCAGTTTTCTGGCATTAAAAATTTAACAAGCAATAAAATGATTTGAAAGTAATGATATTTTACTGAATTTAAGGAGAATGGTTAAAATATCTTATATCTTCAGAAATTAAAATTGAAAGTGGGGGTCTGTGATGATAATTTTTTATTATTACTAAAATATGAATTTTAAATAAGATTTTAGGGGGAAAAAATTCTAGATTTTCACAATATATTTGCTACATTTGTCAAGTATGTTGATAGAATTCACTACAGTTTATTCAATATATAAGTAAAGACCAGCATAAAACAGTTCACGGCATAACTCTGTCTTCAGGCTGCATGGAAAAATATACTTCGAAAGAAAAAAAATGATCATTTTATTCTTAAAAAAACCTTCCGCTACAAAATTTAATTCCTCATTTAATGCTTTTAGTATGGAATTTAATTGAACATAGTTTAACTGGCATTGTGGAACCCAAATTTGTTGTAAGAAATAAATATTTATGCAGAATTTTTTAAATATAGGTCAAGACAAAAAAACTGCCTAAAAGCTCAGGAGCGAACTTCTTTAATAGCATATGTAATGTTGCTATTTAAAAAAATAATAAAATAACAATAAAATAAGTAAGTAAATGCATAATGTTTGTCAATATTCTTTGGTTTTGTAGATAAAAAGCTTTAATATTACAAAATAACACAAGTGCACCTGATTCCTAGAAAACAGTTACACTGTCCATGTAATACATGGTAGGCTCTTGACAAAATTAGGATAGTCATATATATTATCCAAATGAGGGACAGGTTACCTTGATTCGCTCATAAGAATTTTAAAAGTATTGAACTATAGTCTAATCGTCATGTTTCTATCTGAAGTCAAGCATACAGAGGCCAGGTATGCATATCTAAAGGCCTAACTAGGCTCTAACTCTGTTCAGCAGTAATTCATATTCCTTATCGATCTTCAACCATTAAAAAATATTGTTTTAATCGTTCAATGGCCGTAAACATAAAAGTATCAACAAATTACTTTCGAACACACACTTGTTTTAACTCATTTTTTTAAACATCAAAACAATAACTTTTCATCATAACTGAGCGCTCATAAACTTTCCGATAAAATGTCGATTATTCGCTTCTGTCGGGAAAGATGGCGGCTCGTTCTTAGCTGCAGAAAGTGCATATAAACGGAGCATTCTGATTGTTGGCTAATTTTTCTGTCAATTAAAATCAGCAATCCGCCAATTATAAAGGAGAGCCCAATTTAATTTGTAAAACAGTAAAGGTGTGATATTATATATATATATATATATATATATATATATATATATATATATATATATATATATATATATATATATATATATATATATATATATATACCTGCCCATATTCCATATAAGTAAGATGACTCAGCTCCCATATAAAGAATGAAAATGGTCATTTATTTAGGAGCACAAAGCATAAGAGCTGCAGAAAACATAATACCATATAAAACGTTGCAAAAGAATATTATACCATAATCAAGAACATGTGATGTGTTGCGACAGGTAAAAAATACAACACTCCTCCAATAATTGAAAATAAATCAAAAACATATATATATACATACAAAAACATTACAAAACTATCAGCCAGTTGTATCCTGGGAAATGTACTGACTATGAAAAAATATTGTGCAAAAAAGTTTTGGCCATTGGAAGGACTAGATATAAAGTATGTGCTAAACAAAGCAGTGATATGGGTTGTTCATCTGTCACCTTAAGAAGGTAGGCTATATCTATCAGTTCTCTAACTGCTTTATCCTATAGGCTATCATATTCAACATCATATACAATGCATATGTACAAAGGGAAAATAAGTGGTTGTGTACAAAATATGCTATTTATCGCTAAGCACACAGAAAAATACTATTGATATGAAACAATACAACAAAAGAAAATACAGAACATGTTCTTACAAGAATGTTTAACTACTTAGAGCCAAGCAGTAGCCCCTGTCTACATGGTTGCTATTGTAGTGGATATGAAGCCCCTGTCTTCACAATCCAAATGGAAACACTTGAGTCACCTAAAATTTTAGTGTTGGGATTCTGATGTACTTTTTATAGGCACACGAGTTCCATCTGCCCATACTTTGAAGAACCCAAGTGAGGCAGCTGTGGTGGCAGCACCAATTCGAAAGCTATGCGTGTTGTAATTTTGTAAGTCTAGGTTACAAAAAGCTAAGGCCGAACGCAACTGCTGTGTGAAGTAGTGACGAGAGATGGGTAAACCGTCCATAAATGAGAACAAAGGCTCTGACTGTGAAGAATGCTTTTTGAGATTGAGGTAATGCAGTAGAGCTTGGTACGGGCATACTAATGGGTCCTCGGTATTTTGTTGCAAGTGTAGTGTAGTTGTGTTTGCCTTTGAATGTTTGAAGTGAGGTATATTTATGTCTATGAACCTGTTAAGTGGACTGTCGCATCCTATAGACACATTTCCAAAAAGAAGGAAATGTTGAGTTGTATTGTTTGTTTTGGTTATTTCTCAGACTCGTAAAAAGGCACAAAACGCTAGAGTAAACATGGCACGTAAGAGTGATTTTGTGAAATCGGATGTAGTGGTAAATTTCAAAGCATGGATAAGTTTTCTCAAAACTGTTGGGGTTATTGGAAGCCATGGTCGGATGTCGGTTTAGATTTACGGAATCCTTGGAGCATTTTACGAATGATGAAATGCTGTGTTATATCTGTGCAGTTTCCAAGCTGGAAGATGAAACTTAATGAGGAAATTAGTGTGGAAGTTGTGGATGCGGCAAATCCTTTCTGATAGCACTGTGCAATAAACCCTGATAGGTGTTGGAATCAAGGTGGTAGTGGAGAAGCTTGGTTCCCAAACCACTGTTCAATGAAACATTTGTAAGTTGAAAAGGCTGAAAAAGCAGATAGAGTTGACGGTGATAAAGAATTTCAAACTAAAATGTCAGCTGTTTGGGTCAATTTGTCACTAATGCTGCCGGAACTGGAGTTGGCCTGCTGTCCATATGTAGGAAGCAGGCTCGGAATTCTTTCACCTGCAAGCGAGAAAGTAAGTCAGCAGCTGTATTAGATATTCCTGGAATGTGTTTGGCCTGAAAATGAATATTGTGTTTCAATGAGAGGATCATAAGACGTCTCATTAATTATATAAGGCGGGGGTCTCTTGAAGTATTTTTGTTTATAACATGCACCACGGCTATATTGTCTGAATGTAAAACCACAGTACAGTTTTCCAAAAGGGGGGCCCATATCTCTAATGCAATAACAATGGGTAGAAATTCCCTTATTGAACTATGGTATTTCAACCACTCTGAAGTGAATTCATAGTAAAACCACTTTGTACCAAAAGTGCATTTATAAACATTTTTTAATAAAAGAAAATAAAGGACTATATATAGATATCTATAAATATCAAATGTGCAAATAATGTTTTATAATTATATTTTATTTATTTATAATCATAGAGGGACCTAGTCAAAATGAATGCAAAATCAGAGGGAAATAGTTCACTCTTTATTTAATGCAGAAGGCAAAAAGCATCGCTTAACAAAATGGGGCCAATGAAAAAATCATTATTAAGCAAATGATAATTAATATTGTAAATAATGATTAGATAAAAAAGCAAGACATTTGAAGAGATAGGGGGTGTGGAGGGTCAATTCCTAATTTATTTTTAATGTATTTTAATAATTTATGTTTGTCTACCAAACTAATATACCACTTCACTTGTATCCGTTATTAAGCCTATATACAAATGACAAACACTTTTATTCATTTTTACATACATATCTTTATCATCATTTTTTTTTATCAGCAGGGGATTGCCTCTTCATGAAATTCTTTTCAACACCAACAATTTTAGCCAAAACCATTCGAAACATTCCTGATGCTTAAGACATGAAATCTTATCATTTCTCACATAGTGTTGACATCCTTTCTTCCATATTCCTGCAAAGCCATTTCTACTTGACTTATAAAGACTGTGTCTTTGTTAGTACTTCTCAACATTAAATTCATGATTACAATGCATATATGACTGTTTCTTTTGTTCTCCTCCAAAATTTACAAAAAAAAAAAAATAATAAAAAATAAAAAAAAATAAAAAAATAACAAGGTAGCCATGATTATCCACTGGATAAGAGACTTAACCCACCTCTGGGGAATGGTTAACTTTGGCCAATATTTAACCACTGGATAGCAAAGTTAACCAGCGGATAAATTCTGAGCAACAGAATTTAACCAGTGGTTAAAAGTTAATTAACTGCTGGATAAGAGATTTAACCAGCGGTTAGCGCTTACCAAGGTTTTGAGCAACCCAGTCCTGAACACTAGACCGTGGCTAGTACAACAGTCTTTAAGATGAAGGTTAGACTCTTTGACCCGCTGGTTATATATATGAGAAATTGTCTATATTTCTAAGCGAATATCTTGGAATGAAACTTAGCACAGTGACTTATATTAGACGAAATCCTCGTTTAAAACGCGTTAAAAATGAAGTCAGTTTAGCCACTGTACAATCCACACTATAATCTAGGTCACATGAATCTAAGTCATTACCCCCGATAAAAACAAAATAAGGTGTTGTGGTTTATATCGCCTAACTGCAGATACAATTAAAGACAAATGGCGATTATTGTTTACAAGTCCACCGCTTATTCCAAAATAGTTCACTTCCTTCAATCCAGATATATCAAAAACAGAATCAGCTGGACGGTCTGTGTCTAAGAGTAAAAATGACTTCAGTCTTTTCACATGCGAGTCTCCCACTATCAAGGTTGACATCGTCAAAGTAAACAAGAAACGATTGGATGAGGAAATTCATTCACACGTAACCACGATTAGTCATATGTTTGAGTGGCGAGATAAATAAACACATTATGTCCAGTTGATGCCTCGCACTGAAGAATCCCGAAACAATGTCTGTTTAGCCTTTAGCGTCACTGCGCGCCATTTGCACAGAATGGGCCGTAGAACCGATGCTATCGATAAATCACGAAAAGGGGGGTATATGTACAACAATTACCTTTGGAAATATGTACTACGTATCCTTGGCGTTGTTATAACCTTTATGGGGTCGATGGAAAGTCGTTATAGATATTGCATAAGCACATTAAACACTCCTTTACAGACAGTAAAAATATTGTGGATGTTTACATAATGGACAATGAATGCGCATGCGCCGACTAGCTAATATGCATAAAGATCAAGTGCGCATGCATGAACTAAAAATACCTATCAAAAGACAACATCAAAGTAAATATAAACAAATACACGTGTCCTGGTCAACATGCATAAACTATTTATTGACATAAAGGACAAGGTTTGGTAACGGCCCAATCTGGCCCCTTATTTGATATAAAAATCAGAACACAGTTAAAATTGTTATAGTTTGTAGTTAAGAACTTAAAATGATGCTTATTTTAAAACCAGCACTCACTTTGATTCAAAGCTTACACGGAGGCCACAAGAGGGTGCAAAAATAAGACATTTTCCCGAATTTCCTCAATTCTGGTCAAACTTCGTCAAATTTGAGATACATTTCACTTCGGGAAACATAGAGCACAAGCTTGCCTATCTGAGATTTTTATACATAAGATGCATCTGATACTAGTGTATGAAATATATAAATTTGGTAGATAGGCAAGCTTGTGCTCTATGTTTTCTGAACCAAAATGTGCTGTAAAATCGATGAAAATTTACATAAAAATGAAGGAATTCGGAAATTGACATATGTTCTGACATTCCTGTGACCTCTATATCTCCCATAACTTAGAACCAGTACTCATTTTGTGGCAGGGGTGACAACAGGTTTTTAACTGATAAACTGTTGCATCATTCTAAAAGACACCTCGAACCGGGGGTCAAAAAAGAGTCTTAGCCTATCTTGTTCTTATATATATATACTGTATGGATAGTCTTTAAATGTCACGGTAATGAGTCGTATTTATGAACTTTCTAATTAAGAAAACGTCTCGGTAATGAGCACCTTATTTCAGAAGAAATATAGCGGTACATATAATATCTTCCTCCCCTTTAGAAGTATTTAACAAATTCCAAAAGGATGCTGACTTTATTTCGACCTAAAAAGGAGTACTTATTCACCTTTCATTTCCCACATGCAGTTATAGTATTCAAGAAAATCTGATAATTATATCTTAAAATGTTAATTACATTATATAACTTGTAAAGTAATATGAGAATTATGAAAAATGAGTCAGGAATATTTCCATGTGAATTATCAACATGATATTATTGGAACGAGATCATATATATGTTCTTGTATGTGTTAATCGTTTGCGTAATTGAAGTTATTATAAAATGATTTATGAATAGAAATCGTCTACATGTTGCGTTGACAAATTCAAGAATAAAGAATAAAAAGTGATAAAATTCAGAAGAATTGGTTTTGCTCTCATATCAAAGATATGTTCCTTATTAATTTCAATTTGATTTTGTTTGAAAGAAAAAAACTCAAAGTCTAATGATAGAAAAAAAATGTTAGCAGTATTTTTTATTTTGATCCACAAAAAGGGTATTAAAAATTTGTCACAACCAACCTCTAGTTGTGCTGAGTTCTTTGAGTTACATATGTACAACCCAAAACATTAAATGCTATTTCGGATGAATCATGCTCACCAAAAAATAATATTTACTTACATATACTTCATGACTATGAGGGGAACAGTCGAACTGTTGTTCCGAAGTGATTGGGAAGACCCAACAAACTGTTGCCCGAGACCTAGGGCCCTAGGTCTTCCCCATTATCATTTGAATGTTCCCCGAGTTGTCATGAAATAAGCGTTTTATTACCTAACCTACTATTTAATAATTTTAAGTAATGATAAAGACATAATAATAATAGATTTTAAAATACATCGACAACAGTTTGTAGCATTTCTTAAAATCAAAGAAAACAAGATGAATATTAATCAAATCCTCACACCGATTGGTGTAAAATCAGAAAAATTAATGGAGTAATATTATCATGCATTTATAAATTTATGCATGCATACATTGTATAGTAAACAACGTCATGATGATTTGAAAGTTTGAATATAACCCAGTCAGATGTCTAAGGTAAAGATCTACAGGGAGTTAAAGGGGTCTATATTTTTCCAAAAATATCCTCAGAAAAGGTGTTCTTGATCTCTTCTCTAAAATGATATTAAATGGGTATCGGGATTACTTTTCAATAAAAATTTTAAATGAATGCCAAGAGAGTCCATGCACATGCGGACATCACTGGATGGACACCTCTACGTGTAACGTTGTCGCCTATGGCCCATCATATCCTCCCAGGTCCACCATGTCCTTAAGGATAGAGTGTCGACCCAATGTAATCCATGCACCCCTTCAATTCTCCATCTGACACCAATTTCCCAAGCAATAACTTATAAATTTGGTTTGTGAGCTGTGACATTTCATACAAAGTAGAAAGTCTGTCGTCACCCTAGAGCTTGCACTCAATTCCGCTTTAAAAACCACACTGGAAACTGAACTTCAAAGATCACTCAGCAGAGGATAAAACACATCCAAGTTCACTAAAAGTGGGTAATATTGCACACACAATGTCATCCAAGATCATTAAGTATCATCATTACATCATTACCTCCAAACCTCTTCTGAGGAATACTATCCAACACCCAATAATTGACCAAACTAATCAAACAAGTCCGACGAGTATGAGTAGCTAAATATAGTAACATAGACTACAGTAGTGACCAATAGAGCGTAAAAAATAACCTCCTGATGCCACAATAAACACAACTTTTACATATACAAACAATAAACTAATACAAACATTGACACAATGTCACTTGTGACAAAAATTAAAATAGTTTTCAATAGTCATTTTGTCATGTCATTTTGGAGACACATTAATACTATATTAACTTTTCTCAAACGCAGAAAAATGTTAAAAGATCCAGTGATTCCTATCTTAAATACAGAAGGGGGAAACAAATTTAGGAATTTTGCATGTATGTGTTTTAAATAAAACAAATCGGGATTCATCTTTGGATCATTTACTATAAACATGACCTCTTATAATCAGGCTATAGAAAACTTTCATTTAAAAAATTGATTAAAGGAAATAATTCATGACTATAAATAATGCATACATTTGTAATATGCAAAATGAACATGGAAAATATTTTTGGTGGGGACATCATGTTTGCCCATTTTGGCGATCTATAAAGGTTCAACAAAATAAAAATCGCCAAATTTACTGTAGATTGTTTGTTTAGTAACTTAATACATAACATATTTGCAGATATTTAAGACTAAAACTTAAAAAGAAATTAGGCATGAACAATAAAAATACATTCCAAGTAAATGCAAATTTCATCCTCTCATATTATGGTTTACCCTGCAGACCAAACTATTCCAAGTTTGTGGTTCTCCAAATACTAACTTCCCGGAAAAAAATGGGAGAAAATTCTTAAATCATGTTATTTATGTTATTAAATATCTAAGAAAATTAATCATCATTATTTAATTTTTTTACTGCAATGCATAAGAAAATCGGATTCAGAATGAGTAAACAGGACACAAGCAAGACTAAAGTTGTTAATATTCATTTTTCAAAGCTATACTCCGTTACACTAATATCATTTTGGTGCTCTAAAAGCACAAATCTCCAGAAAAATGTTTTGACCATTAAACAAGTATTCTCGTTATTGATATCCACATGTATTTGTTAGGAGTATGGTACATGTGGTTACAATAGTCCTCGTGTCAAGAGCTTTGAAAACCTTGGCATAATAATAGACTCTATTACGTAATGCCTTGCCCTGTATGGGTGATTTCGAACATTGTCCATAGAGAAATAAAGATATTACTGTTTAATTCAGTTCATGGGGTGTATTATTATACGTGTGCCTATATAAATGCTGGATCCTGGAAAATTGGATTACATGTGTCTTTTAATCTATTTCTTTTCATTTCTTCACTCTTTCTGTGAGTATTTTTTTTTATTTTCAAGAAAGGGACCAGACCGTTATGCATCCAACAACCATAGTTGTTTGTTTTATTCTATTATTGTGCTCATCTTATGTCATAGAAGAGTGTGATACAGGTAAGAAATGCAACTATTTTAATATTATATTGATTTATATTGCTCTTAAGTTTGATACCCGAAAATGCTCAATAATAGAATGCTTTTCTTTTGATTAATAAAAAATTATTGCATTAGTTTTTCTGTACAATTTTCACAATTTATCTATAGAACAAGATATAAAGAGGGGGTGACGAAATGCGTTTATCTATATAGTAGTTATATACCGACCTGGTCGTGATACTCCGTAAAACTGGATCAAGAAAAAAACTTTAAACCCAATTTCTGCCTTCCATTCAATAAATTCACAACATCATGACGCGTTTAAGTATAATTTATAATACAATTATTTCCAGTAAAAAAAAAAAAAAAACATGAATAAATAATAAACGTTTTTATTTTATTATTTTACAATCTATGAAATTTAATAATAAAATGAGACAAAATCAAGCTATAAAAATCAATATAAAGAAAACAAACGTGTTATAAAATACAATGAGCAACAAATAGGAAGAGAACCAACCAAACAAAACGTCAAACAAGCAGACCTAAATACAATTTTTAAAAAAATGAAAAAAGGAGGGGGTCAAAATACAAATGTCATGTAATCTTTATTGAAAAATATGTCAATAGGGTTCGCCGACCACTGTCTCTGGTTCTAAATTTTACTGTGTTGTTATGGGGTATACGAAAGACGCTTGATCACGTCACACGTGCGTTTTAACACGTTATTTTTACTTTCTCACTTTTGTTTATCAACTTGATTACGAGTTTGCGATGGTTATATACCTTTGAGTTCCTCGTTTTGGGCGGTAAAATGGTCACAGATATACCAAACCATGCTGTAATATAACTAAAGTGGCGTGTAGCTATAAAACGAGAAGATCCTTCGACGAAACGGTTACATGACGTCCCTGGATACAGCTAAAGATCACGCTTTTGTAGTTTGCCACTACTATTTCCAAGAGTCTGACTAAGGGGTCAGAGTCAGGTGCAGTAAGGTTGATTTATTGATAATCTGTGCAATATAAAGGATTTCTTGATTTCATCAGTGTTCATTTGATTGCTCTTGCATGTAATGGTTTATTGAAGTTCATGTAGCTTAAATGTTTCCGTTTTGTTTTACATTTCAGAATTCAGAATTTCCAATA